GGATGCTAACCTTAAGGTAAGCAGTTTGAAACCACCAAAAGATTTACAATCTCAGAATCCCACAAGGGCAGTTCTCCTCTGTCCTATGGGATGGCTGTGAGTTGGCGTTGGCTCATGATGGGTCACTGCTTTCTATGAAGGAGAACAGGGTTTGATTCCCAGCCAATGCACTTTAAGTGCAGCCACCACCCATCTGGCCATGGAGGCATATGTGTTGCTGTAATGCTAAAAGGGTTTTGGATGAGTTACACACTAAAGGTGAAGGGTAAGAAGAAAAACCTGGCAGTCTATTTCCAAAAACAACTTTATTGTTCACAATGTCTAATCCTGTGTGTAAGGGTGGAGCCAATGAAAACTTTAGAGCTCACAATGATCAATCCTGTTGTGTAAAGTTTGCTATGAGATGGCACACAACTTGATGGTGGCAAATAAGAACAAGGCTGAAAATTTTGACCAAAACCAGCTGCCTCATCTTTCTCCCATGGAGTCGCTAGTGAGTTGAAACCACTAGCCATTCAATTAGCAGCTGAGCTCTTAACACTGAACCACAGTGGTTAAGAATTACCTAACAACACCCCCCTCAAAATGAAACCCATTTCCATTTAGCCAATTCTGACTCATAGCAAATCTATAGAACAAAGTCCAACTGCGCCATCGTCTCCAAAGACTGTACATCTCTATGTGGCAGAGCTGCGAGAGGGGCTTCCATCTCCAACCGTGCACTCAGCATCCCACTGCTTAACACGCTGTGACAGCAGGGTCCGTTCTAGAAACAACTAGATTATTTGAATTGCTCAATCTTCAGTCACTTAAAAAATCTGCTGATTTTAGCAGTATATTAAATCTTATCAAATGTGAATCCCAGAAGCATAAAAATACTGCACTAATTCTCAAGATAACCTACACTTTACATAACTCTTTCCCTTAATAAAAAATACACCTTACAATGTTAAGTGGTAAGCTTAACAATATCCATATAAAATGTCAACTCTGTTGAAACTTTAAATGAAATGAAGATTGACATAGAATTTAATAAGGGTGGATATTGGTGCCCCACTACTAGAAGCTGTACATATGTGGCATGAATTAGTTTCTTTGTTGTTTATCCCACAGT